TATAAAAAAAATCTGAAACAAACTTCCGTATACTATCATTTTACCAAAATTGCGTCACTGACCATGGAATAATGTTAATTTCAGTTTGATTTTAATGTCATAATTATGCGAGGTTCCTCATTCACACATTCATACAAATTGACAGCTCAACACAAAACAATATGCAACCAACCAAATTCAATACAATACAACTTTCACCACCTGTGCATACCACACTGTTGACGAATCTCTCAGGTGTGTTAGAGAGATAATCACATCGCGACCAACAGCTCAGCAGATTTAAATAACTTACCTTTTTTAATAAGAAAAGCATGATTTATGGATGCCAACTTCTTTATTGTGAATAACACGACATTTCGGAGCGTAAGCTTGCTCCTTCATCAGGTGAAAATCAATACAATACAAGGCAGTACGCCTTGTTAATTGGGGAATCTTAACTGCCTTGACTCACTCATCAATTAACAGGGTATTAGGTCTTGGGGCATGCTACAATCATTTACCATCACCCACCAGTTATCTCCCCTTGTGGACAAGGAAAGTATTGGAAATCTCATATTTCCAAATTTGGAAATGTCTTGGAAACACCATCTTTCCAAAATTGGAAATGTCTTCATCTTTCCAAGACATTTCCAAGCTTGTAAATGTGGACCTTATTCCCAGTGTCAATACTGATTCCATATAGTGATTTCAAGCCCACTATCAAAGCTTATACGCAGGGCCTCATGCGAAAAAGGTGGGAGACTCAAATAGGAAGAAATAAACTTCACGAACTGAAACCAGCAATCGGTTATACCTACTTGGGTTGTCAGTCAAGACGTGATGAGGTGATTTTACGATGATGTCGTATTGGCCACAGTCGGTTTACTCATGACTATCTGCTCAAAACGGGTGGAGATGGACCTCCTATGTGGTTCTCTTGCCATGAAGAGTTCACCATCAAGCACATTCTGCTTGACTGTGTGGACTTTTCAGCTGCGAGGGACACACATTATGAAGCAAGAAATCTGAAATATTTATCTTCCCGCGTGAGCGGGCATCTCATTTTGAACTACTTAAGGGAAATTCATCGGTATCATAAATTGTAACTGTGTAATGTGAATGACAGATTGCTTGGTTTTTTTTAATTTGGTGCTATGACATATTCTGTTTGTAAATAATATGTAATGAATATATATATTTTCAAGAAATTCATTTGGACTTTGTACTTAAAATGTGTATGACTTGGTCTCGTCGCTATATCGCTGGAATAATGCCGATGCGACGTAAAACTCAATTCAATTCTGGCTCTGTAAGCGAACTGATACGGATCAAGTAAATGACTAACGTCACACAACAAATATTTAGAATGATGAATGAATATAACTACATTAATCAAAGAGTGCTAATAAATAAGATTTAAACATAATTTCGAGGGTTTTCCATTATAAACGGCATTTAAAACTTCTCAGAGTTTCTTTCTACAATGTTATCCATCTGTAGGTTCCAATTTGCATCTTTGGAAAAATTAAACCCAAATGTTTATGCCTTTCAACTTTAGTTGCAGGAATATTTTGCATGAACAATTGAGGTTTCTGTCAGGTAGTACAGTCAGGCCGCGTTAATCCGAACAGTGCCGTTTTCATACATAATGTTCTGATAGTGAAACGTTCAGTTCACTGAAACAAGTCCAGTACACCACACTGCAGTAGAGTTACTTCCCTTTCACGTGACTGATAGAGACAAAATAACGTATACATGTATCAACTGACTTTATTACACATAACAACGTGGATATTTAAATAATAAAACATCAACATTATTGCACAAAATAAATTCACATTGATGTAAAAAAATCGCCAAGACGAGTTTGTTTTGAAAGTCCCTTGAAAGTGGCACACATGTTGACGACGGTTTCCAAGTTTTTGTCATCGCCGACACACCCGTCTCATCGAAGAATCAACAATTGATGTGTTTATATAGTAAACGCAATTGGTTACAGCTTGAGTCTGTTCGGATTGCGAGGGAATCGGATTATCGGGGACGAACGCGGCCTAACTGTACATTATTTTAAAAATAATTTCTGTTTTGTATTTCTGTATGAAACTTTACCTGCCAATGATTTGCCCAATTGAAATAGTTTCTAACTCCTCACTTGGACGTGTTTCTGTATTGACTGGGTCATCATCACCTACTGCGTACAATGATGTACATTACAATCGATATCATCAACAAGATCATTCATATACAGAGGAAATAGAAACACCCATATCTTAGGATGCCGGTTATCACGGGGATAAATACCGAAATATATCATTTTATTATGAAGATAACTATCAAAGCACTAAAGTAAATTACCATTAATTCCATATGAGCGAAGCTTGTTTAAATGACCCCAACATATCTAAGGGCATATCTTTCAAATTCTGTCGATAAACAGCTTTAAAATCTTTAACCTCCAACAAGCTATACGCATCAAAAGTCCATCAATCAACCGTGACCAAGGCTATTACATACCTCCTGCATACTATCAACTCATCAAAGATCCCCATCAGTCCAACTCCATTTGTGTATACTACAGGTTTCACCAACCATTTGTTTATACCGCAGACTTCACGTTCTAACGCTTCTATCTATCTTAAGCAATGTGTTGGTAACTGGCTTCCCCATGCTATTGCATTTCTATTCAAACACCTCCTCACACTTGTATGCATGCCTCTCAATCCCGATTCTGTTCATCACTTGCTTGTTAACGGTGTTTGGACCTTCTCCGAAACGTTGCTCTCACTGTAAAAATGAAATTGTCCATCCATATACTGTTATCCTTCCTTAGCTTGTAAGGGCAATTGGCCTATAATTGATGGTGATTTATATGAACAAATATATTAAGTGTATAAGTGTCCGGCAGTGATCAGTAATCCTTGTGTGTTCGATATGAATATGACAAAGCCATAAGCTGCTTGCAAATGTGTAGTCGTTTATGAATACAGATGTAAGCAATGTTTAAATCTCCTGCTACTATCATATTCATATCTAGATCAACTGCATTACCTATTGACACGTCATTCAGGTCCCAACATTGACGACCGCCTCCGTGGTGTAGTGGTTAGAGCGTCCGCCCGGAGAGCGGAAGGTCGCAGGTTCGATCCCCGGCCGCGTCATACCAAAAGACGTTAAAATATGGTACTTGTTGGTCCCTGCCTGACGCTCGGCATCAATGGGAACAACAAGGACTGGTCGGCTCGGAGTCAGTTAAATGTGTCTGGTATTCATGCTAAACTGCAGCATGGTATCTCAGTGAGCTAGCACTATAAACCAGCTTAAGTCTTGGCTAGTACAAGCAGCCGCACATACACATACACACGCATGCACGTCGTCATATGAGCGAAATATTCTCAAGTACGACGTTAAACCCGATTTCACTTACCTCACCTAAAAGCTGTCCAATAAACACCTTGCTCTTTAAGAAATACAGAACTAAATATCAGCTTGTTGTAGGTCGGATGTGGAGACTGGAACTGCTAGGAACTGGTTCTCGTTGAGATATGTCGTTTTGGAGAGCAACGTTTGAGTGTCACTGTCACATCGGATCCGTAAATATTGAGTTTGCTGTCAAACTGCTAACATCTATCTATTTTCCAATTATCAGTTGTCATTCGATGTATAAATCCGTGTAAGGGTGTTTATGGACCCTTATTCTTCCAAAATGCAGAAAATATTTCTGCTCCAACAAGTTTTTTTCAGATGTTGTTATTTTCAGATCAGATTTTATCACATTGATGAGAGCTGAACTAAACATTGAGGATTTGAATGATATGCATTCCTTCCTGAATTTGGGTTAGTTAGCCTTCGCATTATCCCATGGGGGCTGAGGATTGGGCTTCATCTCTAATTGTGTTGGTTTACCTGTGTGGGTGAGTATATGAAGGTTGTCGCTTCCCCCAAAGTATCATCATGGACTTGTCACTGGCAATGTGAGGCGAGGTTGTTGATTTCAGCTGTCACATCAGTTGTGTTGCGTACATGGTAATAACCCACGAGACTGCCCTTGTTTAGAGTTATGAGATTGTCGTCTTAATCCCATTTCTCAACGATTCTACTGTATTTGCACGTATCGTTCCTGCTTTTTTCCACAAAGGACTGTGGGCATTAAAGATTTTCCCATTTGCCTATTATCTGAGCTAGTCCTGCTAGCTCTTTCGTGTTTGTATCATAGACAGCCCAGTGGTATACATTAGCAATGTCTAATTCATTGCCGTTCGCCAGTTTTAATCATAATTGGGAAAAACGGGAAACAAAACATGTAACCAACCAGGAAGGATAACAATAATCCTTATTGCTCACAGCAATAAAGAACTTGTTCGTCCATATATTAGCCTTCCTTATCGCCCCACCTTCTAAATGCCTCTCAAAGAAGTTATGTAATTGGTGGACGAGAAGGTAGTATCTAGGCCTGTTTGTTCTTTGGAAGTCTGATGATGGGATGTGATGGATGTTGGACATATTGATGGGGCTGAATCTGGTTTAAGTCGTTTGGTAAACTAATATCTGGTCTCTGAAATGAACATATCTTACAGTAGGCCTATATTACGTATTTGTAATAAACTGTTGCGAAGAAAATACTTTTACTATCTAAACGCTATAATGATATATCAAATGGTCTTGAAGGCTCCAAATAGATATTCGATATGATATCTAGCTAACATATTTTACATGTCGGAAATATGTTACCAGCATGACGTCAAAAGGCAATAGAGAGGTCGCCGTGCGGACATGCGTGGCAAGCTAACAAACCCTGTTAGTCAGTCAACACAATCAGTGATCGTCTGCTTCCACCATGACTTTTTAGCTTGAGGTTCTCATGATAAATTAATATAACGTCAATAGTAATTTGTTTTGAAAACCATAAACATTAATCTGAAGTTCCCTGATATTTCGCCAAGTATTTGCTCTTTGGAATTAGTTGTAAAGGAGCCCGTCTCACGTTATTGGTGTAATCGTCACCAATGAATGTGCACAAATTGTGATGACGAATAGACATCTCATTGGTTTAAGGTGTCGTGCCATACTATTTCTGAGGAGATATCGAATGTTTACGGTTCAGAAACATAAATATTGAAGAAGACGAACAAGTTTATGAGCTTTGTTTTCCAACAATGTCTTGATAATTGTATTTGGGTAAGTATATTTGTGATTAATAAGAGAAAACACAGATGTACCCTACACCTTGGATGGTGTTCACTGTTCGATGAAGCTGAATGAAAATAATACTCAACGAAGTCACGAACTTTTACCTATCGTCTCATCAAGTCTTATCAGAGATCATGGTTCTGAAACGTTCCCTACCGCATACGTTCTTCATATGCCCTCTTGAAAATTAAATGGATGTTACAGTGCGGGGTATACTGATTGCGTAATAACGATAAGTTTGCCCCACATTTTCATACACAGAATTACGACGGAGATGTTCTTAACACCGCAAAGCGAGTAAATTTGGGATAGGTGGGATGGTAACACAGTACTGTAAATTACTTTTTACTGACCTTGTCGATCATAGAGTGATGTGACAACATTCCTTTTTTCTTGAAATTGAATATGATTAATTGAAAGTCACAACAGCTGTTGTTGAGCAACGTATAGTTTATTTACTAGAGTAGTTCATCGTTTTGTGCCCATGCTCATTGGTTTCCTTCAGCTTTCAACACGAAGATCTATATCGCTTTGAATCCAGGTGTTTGGTTATTCCTTGGTAATCTCACCAAATCACGTCCCAGACTGACATGGGTTATTCTTTTTGTCACACTCCTCTTTTCATCTTCTGTAAATTATATTCCTGCTGTATTGTCATTGTCTTGCAAAATGCTCAGTTTTCAGATCTGTCAAACCTAACTTTCCACATCTAGTTTACATGGCTTCTCAGCTTAATACAACTGTACCATTCAGTATTCTATTTGTTACTTGTCTTGCAAAAAGTCCTAATAGTAGTCATATTGGTCGCTGAGGTCTCCCAAGTCCTTGATAAGTAAAAAGTTTTAATTGTTAGTGAAACAGCATAAGGTCTGCCTTTAGAATACAGCACCACAAACTTTAAGAATACGTCATAATACCCTTTTCCGTAAGTTTTTGTGATTTTGTTCCAAAGCACGTTCTCAAAACAGTGCCCTATGATGCCGACATAGCAACAAGGTTGTCTGGCTCAGTGAGTGCGTTTAACCCCCTGGATGCCGAGATTTTTTTCAGGCACACATTTTCATAAGGTTTAAAAAGTGAACCTTGTGCGAGAATTGCACTCGTGTGGTCCTGGATCTGCATACGGCTATAAAATTTCACAGAAATGTAGAATATTAAATTTCCTTACTCTTGTTGTAACTGTAGTGTAAGTGCAAATACCTGGGCGGTTTGAGAAATAGACACTGCTAAATGTTGTCCAAAATTTTGTTATGCATTAAAAAACAGTAAATTTTTTCCACTTTTTATTGTGCACCGATAGAAGCACTGTGCTACGATCTTTTTAAGTTAACATCTTTACGGAAAGTGTGAGCGACGTAATACAGCCTGATATCTGAACGACATAAGTATATATGAAATGGGTCATTGTGTTTATGCATAATCTTATACGATCAATCTGAAAAATGACTTGTCATACACGTATAAAGATAAGGGGCATAACTCCGCTATGATTAACACTAGGTCAATGTAACTCAGATCACTTGGAGAGAATTTGTTGTGGATACAGATGCTATATTTTCGTTACGTTTTGTTCACGGTGAACCAAACTATTCCAATGCAAAGTTCCCCAATGTGAGCAGATACGTTTTGGTAGTTTCACAATTTATAAGAAATGATGACAACATACTACATGAGAAAGCCCGAAATAGCGATTTGGTTGGCCCTATCTGATATGTAAATTGGTTCTTAGCTTCCCATATTCTCCTGTTTGTGTAGATGCATTTTGACCAATTTTGCATCATTTTTAACAGTACAAGCCATATCTTCAAATGTAATGAAGTTACTGAAAAGATTACAACATTTTAGTGGACGTCATTTCTTGTTTTATGTATTTTGCGACGTCAGAAAAAGACGACACTGGTATGCTGATTAGTATATATCTCACCTAATTTCCATTAATTGTATAAAAGGTCTCTGCTTTTATGTCAGTATTTATCACTCTTTAGACAAAACATTAAATGACTCATTTTACCATTTAAATAGTGTCCTGGGTATATCAACAATTAGTCGGGTTGACTGTGTATCTTTTTGTGAGCAACACGCACACCTGTTTGTTGAAAAATGATATTTCACAATACCCGAATATTTGTCAAGTTCTTATGTAAATATTATTAAAAAAATCAAAAACTTTCAAAGAATAACAAAACGTATACCCTATATGCACGTATGATATGATATTGAACAAGGCTAAATGTAGATACTAAAGTTAGTTTCATGAAAACATATCTGAACGATATGCAAAATATACATCATAATACTGAAAGTGTAATCGGAAGGATGGGAGATTGTGTTCACTCTTGTTCAACTTACCTTCACCTCAAAGAAATTGCCTAATATGTACAACAATGTTGACGTATGACATCACTACCGATGACCGATTTCTTACAAAATGGCAGCTGCGCTGACACAGGATTTTGCGAGAACACTTCCCTTGATTCAGGGATTGTTTGTACATAAATATGAGATGTAAGTAATCAGAATGATTCTGACTATCTGTGTATTGTTATATGTTTTTATCATTTTCATTGTAAGTAAGAGAAGAAGCCAGAAATGCTGATAATTATCATTGTCGTTCTGTATGATTTTGCGTCAGTCATGGCGTCACGCTGGACGGAAAATTTGACAATTTCTTATAAATGATAAAATCATTGCATTGTATCTATTTTTAATTTCCTATTTCTTCCTACAATACTCTTTCCATGCATATTCTAATGGTATTGAGCCATTGCAAGCAATGAATAGACGGCTGGATGTTGAAAAATTTCAGAAAATGCTACGCAATGTAAAATCAGAATTTGCCTTTGTTTACCTACATTTCAAGCAAGCACAGTGTTTTTAAGCACAGCGTTCATTTTCACGACCAATATCTTTTGTTTCATTTCATCTAGACAGTTGGTATTGGTGACAAAGACCAGTTGTAATTTGATTCTAAAATGTATGGGCAATTCAGTGATGCATTTGTCGCAGCTGATTAAAAAAATTATGTGATGTAATAGGTGTCTCAATACCGGCCTTCGCAAAACAGGATTTTGTAAGCACTATCCAATATGGCGAAATTCGCACTTTGGTTTTCGTGTAGGTGTATTTTCGTAAACATCCCAACCGATTCAAGGTTCAGAATTATCATTAGTGGTTTCATGAAAAACTGACATCAGTGATCATTGACATGCTATTTTTGAAATTCAATACTCCCAGTAATTATCCAATTTTCACATTTCAAAACATACAGCAAATAACGCTGTGAATCGCGTTTTCGTATTGTGTCAAAAATGGTGACATTTATGGTGAAGCCTATTTTGAAAGGTTATTTGATGTTTGTTAGCTTTGTCTAAGATAATAGTGGATGGTATCAAGAAACAGGAAATCTCCCGCAGAATTCAAAACTGTGAAGTGTATTTATGTTCGTGAAATATTTATAAATTTTTTGGATTCGAAGTGAGGGTTGAAGAGGAAGGACATACATGTATATGTCCCTCTGGCACCCGGTCAACCCAGACCACAGTTTTGGTCAATTTAATCATTTAAAGTTCTGGTCAATTTAATTATTATTATTATTATTATTATTATTGTTTGCATGAGTCAGGATAAGTATAAAATATCAATTTTATTCAGAAAATTACATTATGTTTCATATTTCGCTTTCAACATAACTATTAGGATTAAATAAATGATAAATGTGAACTCATATACCTATACATTTTTTCATTCATTAATTTGCATTATTACACAGAAATGGAGTTTATGAGTATTTTACTTTTCGAAGTGGTAAGAATGCATTACCATGGACACTTCAGCCATTTCGTGACGGTTCAGGCAATGTATTCAATATATTATGATGATTTCGAGGTTTGGGTTACAGCTAGGGTTAATCCAATATAGTACGTAGATGTCCGGTGTAATGCAGTACCATTTGATGTTTTTCATTTTGAATTTTTAATACTTTTTTTCACGAAAAAAGCCCCTAACCCGCGAAAGTACATGATGAAATGTAGAAATTTTGGGCTAATGGAAATTGGCCTGGAACTTGCACTCAATTCACTTTCACACTCTACATTTGTCCAGTAATGATTCGAAGGCAAACTCACCCTCGTGCCATCATAAGACATGCTCATATCTTCCTCATTCCTTATTGCGATCCACATTATCTTTTTCCTTAGTGCGATCCACATTATCTTTGGGGCGGTGGGGTTGCCTAGTGGTTAAAGCGTTGGCTCGTCACGCCGATGACCCGGGTTCGATTCCCCACATGGGCACAATGTGTTAAGCCCATTTCTGGTGTCCCCCACCGTGATATTGCTGGAATATTGCTAAAAGCGGCGTAAAACTAAACTCAGTCAGTCAGTCAGTCCACATTATCTTTACAGTGTTCCCTCCAACTCTTTTCTGTCACAAGATCACCTAATGGTTTATATAAAAGCATGTCATTCGTTCATGCACTGTGAAATCAATGCCTGACGTCAACAACCGTTTTCAGTTCACACCATATCGGCCCATTCCACACCACACGGCATCTTGTAGATTATGGAATGGGACAAGTGTGCCAAATGGCATCGAGGCCATTCGGCAGTTGTTCATAGATTAAAATCACGAGACACAATGTCTACCCGTAACCTTCGTAATTGTCCTTGACCTATTCGATTCTTTCAAATTTTCCATTCATTTCCGTAACGTCACAGGAATGACTAGATGAATTTGCACATTGTGTTACTGTGGACGTAGCTCAGTTACTGAGTCAGTTAGCTCTCTGGCTAACAATCCGATGGTCGTGGGTTCGCATCTTGATGGATTCTCACAAACTGGTTGCTTGTCTTTGTGACATGTGACCCACGGCAGAGAACGTCCTCACAAACTTGAAGTTGTGGTACTGAATTCTAAAGGTGCTTCTGGCATAAGGTTTTCCTGATTTATCCTGAACATTCTTATCCAGATTCAACTGAATGCAATGTTGTTTATAACTTTGATAAAAGTTAAAACAACATTGAACACAATACATGCTTCTTCCTCTGAGGTGCCCTTGGATACATTTGCCAGTGTTCTGTCCTTGATGCATCACTATCCTTCTCACCATACACAATGATACTTTCACTTTGTGGTTTTTTTTCATGTTTCATATATTAATACATGTTATAAGTGTCACAGCATGGCAGATGTATGGCCTTCCATGAGGATATCCGAGTATACACATTGATGTTTTTCCGCCCCTGTCTATATGACTGTTTATTTTTCATGTTACAGGACAAGATTCGGAATGATTTGAATGTTCCTGGAGTGTTGGATATTTGTTTGCGAGGTTAGATACTACATGTGCAGAAGGGCATAGTCAGTTTTGAAATGGTGCACATTGAAATTACAGAAGGGTTATAATGACACTTAGTGTTTGAATAAATTCCAATCTAATGAAACAAATAAATTATCCCAATACAATTCATGCTCTTGTCTGAAGGCAATCATTTCCCAAGATGCACATTTCCATGGCATAGACAAGCATGGTCTGATGGCCAAGCTGTCACAAGTCAAATAGCAGGCGAGGATATTTTCATTCTTTTCAAATTAACTAGAGGCAAATGATGAACATGCTGAAACAGATGGGCCAGGTTATGAGAAAATGACAGCCAATAGTATATACCACATTTCAAAGCAACTTGCATGTATTGGGGTCAGTTATACCGATTTTAATGTTTATCAAGGATTGACATCTTGGGATCGGACAACTGTCTGGACAACAGTCACAACTAGGTGTGTGATATCTTTTCAACTCAGACCTGAGGTTGGTTGTCGTGATCACAGAAAGACTTCTTGTTGCATAGCATGTGCTCAAATGGTAGACTACAGTTAATAGCAGGCAGGTTATATCCAGTTAGGGATGCATCTCTTTCTTCACAACTGAGTGGACAAGACAGAGATCATTATGTCATCAGAAGTACCGTTTACCTAAAATGACATCATAGTTCACCCTTGTAATAAGTACAATAGCAAGAATGATTCTCAAGTGTTGTCACAACAACCAAACACAGGTCTAATTGCAGTGTCTTTATTACTTTAATGAAATTCATTCATTCAGTAATTTTAATGATTTTATCATTCAAATTACAGCTGTTCAGTTGTATTAAGCGTTACTTTAGATCTGGAATGTCTTGCTCTCAGTTTCAACATCCACTGCAGTGGCCGTATCATTGACATTCAATGTTTCCATTGCAATTTCTGAATTACAATTGCCATCATTTGACCCCACAACGGGTCCCAAATCTGCTGTCACTTTTTGATCTTTTTGTTTGGAAAAAGGAAAGTATTCACGACTGTCTCTTCACAGAAGCAGACGATTTTGCCCATGACATTTTGGTTCGATAACTACCTTCAAATTCAGTTACCGCCCTTCACTATAGGATATTATTTCAAAGGGGAGTAACTTTTAATGTATGGACAAACAGCATGACTTGAATAAGCAATGTATTATAAGCTCCATGGATTGATTTAGGCACCGACTGGATGTTGGAAAGCGTGCATATTGCTGTGGGGATTACGAATGCCAATTGATTGCTAGAAAATATGAAAACAAGTTGAAAATATTGGCAAGGTATGTTTATGCATGATTGTTACAAGTCATTTTATTTTTATGGTACGCTAACCGGACCCATAGTGCGTCTTTTTTACTACTAAGCGTCAATGGTGCAAGGGCATGGTCTATATTTAGATAAATAGATATTTAGTCATTGTTTCTTTATGGTTGTCTTCCTTATGTGGGATTCAGCAATCATGTGTGGACATATTCATAAGAATTTTGAACATTATGAACAATGAAAATAATTCTTAGAATACTACCTCTAAAGTCTAATACTTGAGGTAAAGGCCCACCCATTCATTCAAGCTAATCCTGTGGATTCAGAAACAAGTTTCTTGAAAAATTATCAGGTTGTATTCTAAGAATTACTATGAGTGTTTATAATGTTCAAATGGCCAATTCAAAATTAGTATCAGCCCTAAACATGCATAAGTGTTTACGAGTTTTTAAATCATGTGCATTTCATGCATACATGCACACTGTTGTCCGACAATTCAGTTGGTTTTAGTGCAGCATGAAAATTGGGAAAGTCACTTTTCAACCATCAGATCAAATACACCTGTGGCAATACCATAACCCATGCTTCTGATAGTGGGAGACAACTGCTGCAGATAGTGTTTGGAGTACCACTAGGAAAAAGACATCATAAATGGTTTGACTTCAAAATTTTCATTCAAGCTGAATCTGTAAATTCAGAAACAGGTTTCTTGAAAAATGCAATCAAGTGTCAGAGGTTGTATTCTAAGAAATACTATTAATGTTTGTGATGTTCAGTTCAAATGGCCAATCCAAAACTAGTATCAGCCCTATACACACATGATAGTGTTTACAAGTTTGTAAATCATATGCATTTCATGCATACATGCACACTGTTGTCCGACAATTCAGTTGGCTTTTGTGGAGCATGAAAATTGGGAAAGCCGCTTTTCAACCATCAGATCAAATACACCCGTGGCAAAAAATAGGTCACTGTTACAACATTAATGTTTAAGGATTGAATTTTGTTCACAGTAGCCTGTGGTTTAAACAGGTTAGACCACTCAGATCCTGGAGTTTCAGTATTTAAATGGGTAGTTTAAACTACCCATATCATCATTTAAGCTCCAGGTCCAGCCAGTTCACATTACCATGAGTAATCATCCACATGACATCAGTATGTGAAACAAGCTTACTGACATCAGCAGGTCAAGCTCAAAGTTCATAATCTGCTGATTGGCTTCAGTGGACTTCTATCTTGGACCAAAGAAAAGATTAATTTTAGCTCATGGCTTTCCCTTCTCAACATCATGTGAGGTAGGCATTCTCTGGGCAGTTGTGTCTTTGTGTTGTTTCACAGAAGTGCATAGTGGTAAGATTGAAGCTACCATTTCAATGGAATATAGGTAGCTGAGGGTTTGTTCTACACAAGCCCTGTCACATCACACTGGGTTATCTGAGTTAAATGATCATGATACAATGGTTGTTTTCTGCCATAGTTACTAGAATCTGAAGTTAGGGAAGTGTAGATCAGTGAAAATTTTGAAGTTAGGGAAGTGTAGATAAGTGAAAATTTTGTAATGGGTTGTATATGCGAGTGTAAATTCGGAGCTGTGTAAATTAGCTGTTGCTTTTGAAACAAAAGATCATTAGTCAATAATTGACCATATTTTAGTATAACTCACATAATACATTTATATATATTTTGCACTGTCATCCTGAATATGAATTTGAATATGAATATGGAAATGCTCTACTATTAATATACTATTAATCAGTTAATATTCGAAATGGAGTTTTTACCTCATCAAGATATACAACAAAATGTGTGCTCATTATATGGGAAAAGACAATAGACTACAAAGTTTATCAGTACGTTTACCAATATTGTATTTAATTATACTGAATTACTTTTAATTCATATTTTTTAATAACTGAGTAATATGTGTTTACAACAAGTGAGATACAATGAAAATGAATACATGTACAATTGGCATTTTCACATGAACATTGATCTGGGGGTGTTTTGTTTACAGATTTTAATACTTTAGGGCATACTTCACTGCAAATGTTCAATGAGTTTTAGAATGGTACTTGCATAGAAGAAAGTAAAGTGTTTGATCCTCACAAGGGACTGAAATTGTTTTGAACCCCTTCATCTGAATATCAGTTTTTTTTATATCATTTCAATTGTTCCTCCTCAGGAAATTAGATCAAAGGTTGGGAGTTGGTTTCCATAACATAGGAGGAAAATTTGTTTTCACACTTGGACTATCTGTATTTTTAAATGTTATTTACTGGTGTTTATTTACATTACCAAGGCAGCAACTCATGTTGAAACCGTTAAGGTGTGAAAAATAGACATGTTATGATGAAATTTTGGGTTCATTTCCAGAGCTCATCTGACCCGTGAATGTCCCGGGTTAGAATTGGTCTTCAGTAACCCATGCTTGTCGTAAGAGGCGACTATGCTTGTTGTAAGAGGCGACTAACGGGATCGGGTGGTCAGGCTCGCTGACTTGGTTGACACATGTCATCGGTTCCCAATTGCGCAGATCGATGCTCATGCTGTTGATCCCTGGATTGTCTGGTCCAGACTCGATTATTTACAGACCGCCGCCATATAGCTGGAATATTGCTGAGTGCGGCGTAAAACTAAACTCACTCACTCACTCCAGAGCTCATCTCATTAGCTGTTCAGTACGTTTGTGAGTGAAACTCTGCATAAAATTCAGAGAAGAAGCTGACCTGGTACCATTCTAGAATGGTCTTTCAGTTTTTCTTCTTCTCTGGAATAGGTTTTATTTTTAATAGGATTTTGGTACCTTTGCAAATTGTTCTTTAAAATATAAGTTTAGTCAGTTTATGCCTTCATGGTTTGTTAACTGGGTTAAGTTTTTGTGTGGCTATGTACATTTTTCGTAATTTTGAATGGTTATCTGTACAAATATCAACCTTTTGTGCCTTTAGTGTCTTTTGACTGTTTTAACATTTTTGCTATGCATTTACTTTTATAATTTTCTTTTCTTCAGGTTCAGGAAGATAAGTGGCCATACAATCCAGGTGTCCCACAGGGCTACGTTGTAGTATAAAGCTTAGAACAAACAAATATGGAGAGGGGTGCTAGTACCTCACAGGCTTACTCTGATGGAGCCTCTGCTCTGCCCACACCAATTTATATACAGCCGCATGCCCTCAGTGTTGACTCCATAGCTCTTGACAGTGACTATTCTGATGCTGAGGAGGACATTGATGTTGGCTTCAAGAGGAAGGACTTAATAAAAAGATCAGAAGTAGGACGTCTCTTACATGAGTCAGAGGTAAGTTCAAAACAACAAAACTTTGAAAAGCCTGTTTTATGTGTGTCATACAGAGTACCAAACGTTTACATCTAAGAGACAAACCATGCATGTTTGCTTACGGTGTGATAAGGAAACACAGGGCTTACACAGCATAGTAACCTTATATACTGGCCACACAAATAGCAAGTATTGGAGACAATCAAACGCTCATGCAGGTGCCAGGCGACGTGACGTCATTGATGGTGGCCTATGGACTTGCAATGTGTTACTGTACGTGCAGCCTGTGCAGCTGCACACAACATGTGAAACTCAGAAATTGATGTCACTGTTGAAAGCTTGATCTTTGGTCATTCAAACGTTCACAAATTCACATGAAAAGTCACATGCACATCATGCCAAGATTAACATGTGCTCAACGTCATGAAGCCATTGGAATGGTTCGAGCAGGCATGAGCCAACAACAGGTGGCAGCACATGTCCAATGCCATCATAACACGATATCTGCATTGGTCAGGCGTTAGGGAAACAGTAATGACGTCGTCGACCACCCACGTTCTAGGCGTCCCCAAGTAACGGCGCCAAGACAGGACATATGGTTTCGGGTGACTCATATCAGACACAGGTTCCAGACGGCAGTGACCACGTCCCAAACCATTCCCCAAGCCTTCATTTGGAAAATTTGGTAGCCTCTATGCGTCGTCGATGCACTGCTGTGCTTCACGCGCATGATGGTCATACCCGTTATTGACTTTGTGACTTCGACGTGTGACCCCCGACTCAATTTTGAACTTCTGACGTCATTGTTACGGATATTGTTCATGTTCTTTTGACATGTTGTTGAGGCCCGATACTTCAGCTTATAAAGTGTCTACATCATGTCGTCTTTTCTGTGTTGTATTCCAATTCTGAAGGAATTTTCTGTGTGCACAGTTTCTTTATGTGGCTAGTATACATCTCTTCATTGAGACATGAGTCTACTGAGAGAGTTTTTTTAATCTTTACTTGAAATTCTTGTTTGATAGTCATTTCATTTCAGTGCATAAACTAAAAGTACGGAGCACTACTTATCTGAACACAAAGAATTTTCTGGATTTCATCTTCTTTCATTCTTTGTTACAACGTTTCGGGGCCTGTTCCGGCCCCATCATCAGGTAAAATAAATAAACAGTTAACTGTGCCCATGACATCACAATGCTTATAACGTCACAATGCTATGACGATGCAATACATCTGGACTTCATAATGGATACAGCTAACATGGCAAATAGGAATACGTGTTATTATGAATATATAAAATATTGTTTACTACAAAATTATTTGATTAATTTAGAAATGTATAGATACTTACTGTACCAAACTATTTGATTAATTTAGAAATGTTCAGATACATATTTATACATGTATAGAATGTAAAGTAATTACAGTGTATACATAGAAATTATGGTTTATACATGGGTACAGTGTTTTCATGAAACAGTGACGAAGGTAGGATATTGTGTATTGTTTTATGAACCATGCATTCGGGAGGTACACACCCTGATCCCTGTTTATTGCTGGTTTTGTACGTTTGATGAAGATAACTTCAATCAACTTGCATTTCCGCCAGTGACTAATGTTTTTTGCGAGGACTTAAGTTTCCCAGTCAATTTCATGATTAGGATTATTCACAATGTGTTGAGAAACTGCAGATTTCAGATCCAGTTTGTCGACTGAAGTTGTGTGCTCTATCACACATGTAGCTACTGGTCTGCCTGTCTCACCAATGTAGATGTCACCACAGTCACATTTCAGTTTATACATCAGCAAGTGGTCCCCTCATGCAGAAAATTGTGAAAAGTAACAACAGAATAATGATCATTTCAGGGATTTACGGGACGCGACTTCCTGTGTCCAATACGCATAAAAATTGACAATGGACGCAACGAAATTGATTAGTGCATCCACAAAGACGCAGAAAAAGTCCAAATACTTTTTGTAAAAATTTCGATTAAGTAACAATAAGTTATCACTGAGTCTGCTACAAGCAGGGTTATTGTATCATTTGCAATTTAATTACTGTAACAATGTGATGATTATGATACACAATACTATAACAGTGACTGAAATACAACAATATTACAACATAGTATTAAGTGTCTGGGGAACCCCATTTTGTAGTCCAGGACCCCTGAAAATTAAGAGAATGAGTCCCAAGGATCTTCAAAAACAGGACTCAAGGTGAATCCCTGTCGTTTGTAAAGCAACCTTTTTAATTCGGGTGTCGAAAATTATGAGACATCAGAGTTGGTCTGTCGATTTCACTCGACTGCAAAAATTTGGTTTTTTTTGCAATAATTAGATTTTGTGTTTGTGATCAATTCATCTGTTCCAAACGAAATCAAACGGACTAGTATGAGAATTACATGAATTTGCTAAAGGGATACGATGAAGAATACATTCTCCTTTATCCATAAGGAACCTTAAGGAGAAGGAAATGGTTGATCGAGTTGTCTATACTTCCTGTGTCATTCCAATAAGGAGCTATGGATAGCATCACCTTCAGGATAGTACTTCTGTCAAAGAGGATTGGCAGTTGGAATGGGGATCAGTCATCAAATTTCCAAGAATGTAGCCTCTCTGTAGAGCTGAATTTTCAGGACAATCACATACACCTTTGTTTAATGGTTAAATCATTTCAACAACCCTGGTATAATTAAGAAATGCTTAACAACACCATCCAGGAGATGAGGCCGTACCCCAGTCCCCACTATTAGATAGGCAAATCAATCCTTGAAAATTCCTTTCTTGACAGTAGATACAAGAGAGGACATTATTTTTCAATGAACAGCATAATAAACCATTGGCTACAGTCACAAGGACATTCACCTCTGACGATCAGCCAGAGGTCATTGATTGGGGAAAGTCAGTCAATGACACCACTTTGGATCAACATGACTGGCATCTTCCACCACCAGTTGTTCCTACCTCTGATTCCCAAGTAGATGGAAGACTGATCCTATAGCCTAGTTGTGCTTTGTGTCAAGTGCAGCATGATTCCGTGATCATGTAGCACTGTAAGCTTTCAGTAGTATATTTGTTCTAGCTTTGTATGCTATCATATAGGAATGTTCACACACATATTCTTCCTTACAGGTTAATGATTTCTTGTTGGGTTATTGGCTCGTCACGCCGAAGACCCGGGTTCGAATCCCCACATGGGTACAATGTGTGAAGCCCATTTCTGGTGTCCCCTGCCGTGATATTGCTGGAGTATTGCTAAAAGCGGCGTAAAACCAAACTCAGTCAGTCAGTCTTGTTGACGACAGTTGTTTTTTTCCATCAGTGTGTTTTTTGCTTCATGGTTCTATTATTTTATTTTATTATAGGATATTTATATAGCGCACATATCCAGGTAACTAGATATTCCGCTTATTCTGTGAATTTGCACTCATGTTAGAGCTGTATGAGCAATATGTGAGATAAAATTTTGATATTTCATTAGGCTTTTTCCATATCAGTTGGTTTATGCCAACCAAAATATTGTGCACTGAGGGAATATCTGAAATGAGGAAGTCACAGGGCTGGCCTTGAGAATCATGCTTGTAGAAATCTGTTGTGATTGATCTGTCTGTAACTTGTCTTTATGTAAGATTGAAATAAATTTGATGACAAACTAATTTATTGCAGGAATCTGATCATGTCAATAATGAGAAGGCTTTTGAAGATGCTGATGGAGTAAATATATTGTCAGTGCCTGCAAAATGTGCTGAGCAAGCAGAAGAATTTGTTCGAAAGGTCTGGGAAGCAGGATGGCGAGTGGTTCATCATCATTCACTCCCTGACTGGCTCAAAGACAATGATTTCCTGCTCAAAGGACACCGCCCACCCACAGGTTCATTCATGGCTTGTTTCAAGTCAATATTTCAGATTCACACTGAAACAGGCAATATATGGACACATCTTCTAGGTAAGCTATGTTTTATGAACATTTTTCATATTATGTGATTGAAACATTTTACAACTGAATGCATGATCATGCAGGACTAAAATATTCACAGGTAATATGAAAAGAAGTTGAAACTTTTGCATATTTTATAACACCTGGCAGAAAGACATTGAACATTGCTGGTTGCATATAATTTTGATGTCCAATGGAAGAAACAGAGCATTATCAACGTTCTTGATGGAAAATAAGACAACAGCTGGGTAGAAACCATAGCGTATGAGCTGTAAAAATGAAGAAAATCTTCATACTGTTGTTGTATATTAATAGTGGATATAGTTTTCTTATAATGCAAACTTGGAATACACAGTGTATATCTTAAGGGCAGTTTTCAGCTGTAAGATTTAAAATACTTTGAGTATAGACTTGAATGGAAGTGGCCGGCTTGAAACAAATGCATTTTTATTGGCTAACATTAATGTCCTGAAAGGACATGACCAGTAGTTCTCAGATCAAGCTTTAGATCTGGTTTGAATCAGCTTGCACTTTCTAAAATTAATAGAAGCATGCTATTGACACTGTTTTGTATGTTTAAAGGATGAAATGTTAATTTTTAAGTCTGCAGCCATTACAATGTGTTGCCACTATCAAATGGCTGCAGAGGAAGCTAATCAGTGTGTTTGATTAACATGATTAATAAGACTGAATTTGTTGCAAGTTAGGTGTGTTGGAGTCAGAATGAGATCAGGTTAACAAGCTGAACTAGAACTGATGTTAATGGTCCATATCATTTGTGTTTGATAATGCAGATTGTCAGATTATTAGGACTTGACTGTATTGAACTTTGTTCCAGATGGGAATTTATATAAAATGCTGAATTTTTGTTTCCAGGTTTATGTTTATCAGCTATGTCTTTTTGCAAAAAATATTAGTTATTGAACATAAATGCTGATAGCAACATTACTTTGTTGCTGGACTTAATATGTAGTTTAACATGCTGTTGAAACTGTATCCAAGTACACTAGAGTTAAAATGTATTTATACAGAATATTTGCTATTGAAAAATAGGCACATTTCTTTTATACTGTATGATCTCAGTATGTAAATAATTGTGTACTGACAAGACAGTACAGTAATGGACATTAGCATTGATCTACACAGTTGGGATAAGTTGACAAGCATCAAGTCAGCCAGTCTGACCACCCGATCCTGTGAGTGTGAGTTGCCCCTTACTACATGGCTTGCTCAAGAAAAATATTAACCCAGATCTTTATAGATATAGTATACAAAGTGTATAACATGTTTGACCAGTGATCTTTTCTCTAAATTCTGTGTTTGGAAAACATTTGTAATGGTATGTCTGAACAACACTTTCCATGTAGACTGAAACTTTTGTCTTTGTTTTCCTTTTAAGGTATGATAGCTTTTATGGGTATAGCCATCTACTTCCTGTCCAGGCCATCTGTGGAGATTCAGTGGCAGGAGAAAGCTGTGTTCTCAGCATTCTTTGCTGGTGCCATCTTGTGCATGGGTTTCTCCTGGGTATTCCACACAGTTTATTGTCACTCAGAGAGGGTTGGCAAGTTCTTTAATAAGTAAGTACTTCCATGTCATTGTGTTGGGGAAAAGTTCAGAAGGTGCAGTGGCACATGATGTTGGAAAAGCTTGGGGGTGCTTACAGTGTGTTTCCCCCAGCTTTTGAAAGTACCTGTAGCAAGTCCCTCAATGCTTTTGTCCCCCTAAAGACATTGCCTCATGTCCACATTCATTTTTTTCTTTGTGTCATTGGCCATTCAAATCCACTCAACCAAACATCTTTATAGTGTCATATTTTTGTATTCTGAACAGTGTCAGCGATCAATATATATTTTAACTCATGAGGGCCCAACGCCCATACAGTTAGATATGAGAAGGTCAGTCACTGGTGAAAATTTTGGGACTTTTTAAATGACATCTGAGGATGTGAATATATATCCAATGGTTTTTAAAAAAAAGTTTTTGCAGCTTTATGCCAATGCTCCCTTCAAGTTCATTGGCTTTCATGGTGATTCGCAATCACCAGCAAGTGAGCCTCCCTACAGAAGTGGAAATCGCATGCAAGCAGGGAACCTGTTAAATCCGAATTTATGTACACAATTCAGCCATGTAATTACACTGTCTGATGTATTTCTTGCGATCATAGCATTATAATTGTTTGGACTTATTGAGTATGTTTTAACCGAATCACTGGGAGATTTTGAGGAAGTGTATGCACAGCTGATTGCAGTTTCCACCTTAGTTCATGAGAAATAAACATGGTAAACTTAAATCAGTGCATGTGAGATAATAGTGGCGATATAAGTTAAATGGTAAATCATTATGTCAGGTGATGTTTTATCTCAAATTTCAGTTTTCTTTTGACCAAGTTTATTAAAGCTTAGATGCAACCAACGAAATAAACATAATTAAAACACAATTATCATATATTCATGACATATAATATACACTCACATTTCAACTTTCTCGACTTGGCCACAATAACGTGTGATGTTTCGGTATTTCAAGCGCGTCGTGTTGAGCGAGTTGGAAACGTATCGCACAAAAACTTTGCTTGTAAACGCAGAGCATGCTATTTTTAGACATGTGCCAAGTGGAAGTGATTTTTGTCGTCTGCTTTCGACATCAGATCGAGGTAGACACAATGGGTCGTAGGGGTAAAGATCTGTCAACCTCTGTGAAAACAATCATTGTATCGCTAACTGAGAGTGGATTAGAACAGTCAGAAATGTGTAAAATATTGGATTTGTCCAAGTGCACAATCAGTAAGTTTTTGAAACGTTATCGCAACAGGGAAAATATAAATAACTCTGCTCGAAGCGGAAGACCGAAGGTCATTGGGATTCGTGGCCAGACAACATTATCAAGGATTGTTAAGAAAGGAAGGCGTAAAAGTTTGTCTGACATTACGTGTCTGACATTATAATACTTCAGTACCTGTACCTGCTTCAACTAGATCCATTCGGCTTGAATTACACTGTTTGGGCTATGATCGGAGGATTGTTTGTAAGAAGCTAGGAATTTGTGAGGTAAATCGGAAAAGCGTCTCCAATACTGTACAGGAAAATTACACTGGAATGTTGATCACCACTGGCGAAAAGTAATATTCAGTGATGAAATGACAATAGTTATTAAACCAGATAGAAAAATCAAACTCTGGAGAAAAAAGTCTGAAAGGTGGCTTGGCCAGTGCCTCGGTTACTTAGCTGACAAACCTGGATGCACTTTAAAGTTAATGATGTGGGGCTGCATAACTTACTGTGGGCCCGGTGTTTTAGAGTTTGTGGCAGGCAACATGAACAGTCAGAAGTATATTGACATACTTGAGAGGTGTTTGTGGCCAGTGATAACCAAACACTTCACCAATAAACAATGGATGTTCATGGATGACAATGCCACTATTCACCGCTCTGCTGCTACAGAAGCCTGGAACGAACAAATGAAACTGCCCCATTTTTCTGGCCTCCACAAAGTCCAGATTTTTAAACTTATCCTATCTCACGGTATGCACATCTCTCGCTTGATTCGACACTGAGTGGAACAAGTAAACTTTTTTCCCAAGGCCTCTCTTGTCCATCCGCCCATGCACTCAATGCCACCCTCATTATAAGACAGCTTCCTAGCTCTCATGCAAAGCATGTGGCATGCACTACTAGCTGCCCACGTGACTATCCCTGAATCATCATTCTTTTTCTTGTCGCACATGAGTGTGGACGTATGTTACTTTGCTCAACGTTTTCAACTTAGTGTACAACATGGGGAAAGCTGATCAACCAAAGAAGAGGGAATACTGTTCCCGGTGTAATAAATGTAGGATCTTACCTTCGAGGCGTTTGGTGACTACACTCTCGCGTGCGCTCGTCGTGTTGACAGGGCTCGTTATGCTGCTTCACTTGACGGACCCACACCCAGTCCCTCCAAGCATGGTAAGTTTAAGCGTCCTACTTTGTTTGCTAGGCGGTCACAGTCCCCTCGAATGAAGAGGTTTTCATGAGAGCGTCGTCAGATTCTTATTTTTCAGATGTTCGGCATTTGATGGGTTCTCAACATTCCAGCCTTAGTCCTTCGTCTTCGACCACATCCCGGGTAGTGGTTGTCGAGATTGCTACCACCCCTCAAGATACCTCTACACAGCAGGACCTTCGAACTACGCTCTCTGTGTCTCGTTCACCGGGCCAGTTATTTCGGCAAACCTGATTATCTGTCCGCTCTTCCCCACCTAGACTTTCGCCAGACTGTCCACCTTCCCAAGAATTAGACCGGCTCTCTCCGAAACAGTTTTCGCCGAACCGGTCTTCATCGAAACACCAGTGGAAGAGTCAGCTTTCTCCGGATCGACCGCCTGCGAAATGGATTTCACCTATTTGTTCGTCGTCGAAACAACTTTCGCTGAAACGGAAGATTTCACCGAAACGACACGTGGTGAATAGACTTTCGTCGAAAAAGCCTTCTTCCAAGCGGTATTCAACGGAATGTTTTTCGCCGGATCGTCATAGTACTTCCCCAACCTCTGTTGGATCTTACAGTCACGTCACCTCAGAACGGACGCGACCTTCATCGAGTCGTTTGGATCTGTCTCCTGTTATTCTTCGGATCTGTTCACCGGATAGACCTGGTTGATCTACTTCACCGCCGTGTCGCCACTCTTCGATTCGTTTGCATTCAACTAAGCAGCGCCTCCATCTACTTCATTGAGATCGGTTCTTCGATCAAAGACACCTCCTCAGACTTCGTCTTCTCGTCAGCATGGGACTTCCTCTTATATGCACACGACCCGTCACCCTAGATCTCCTACACGATCAACTGCTGCCTATCGTTCAAGATCCAGGGATCATCATTCTACCTTCCCCTCCTTGTTCCCGACCTCCTCATCGGGTCTCCATATGTACGTCTTCTCCCGGTTCGTCCCTCTCCAGACATCAATCGATATGGTTCTACTTAACGGGGCTCCGATTATAGATCTCATGCGCAGGAAACTAATCCTCCCAGGTCTGGCTGCGATGTCGAGTGCTATTTACTACTGCTTGGAATCAGCAACAGTCTGCTCCCTCTATAGGGACCGAATGCGCATTCAACTAACTAGCGTTCATCAACGAACCATGCTGCATCTACTTAATTGGCATTCACCGAACCGAAATTCGCCAGACCGGCTTTCCTCGAACTGGAGATCGTTGAATCAGCCTGTATCGAATAACAGCAGTCCCTGAATCGACGTTTTTCGGCTTAACTAGCCGTCCCATGGTTCACTGAACTCATCCAAGTATCATCGTCAAACCGATTCGGGATCCAGTTCGCCGCGACATCGTCAAACTAATTCTTCAGCACAGAACGGCTTATCTCCTCTGAACCACATCGCCGAACTGTTTCACTACAACCTCCCCGTACGAGTTAACCAGATCGATCTGCTCATCACCGAACTACATCGTTGGGCCAAACTGAGTCGCCGAACCGGAACCAGATCATAGTACCGTTTCAGATCTTACCTCGCCGAGCCAGATCACTTAACTGATCCTGGTCATCGGTTCGGAGCTTGTCAACACTGGTTTTTTTTTACATGCTGATCGAGGATCATGGCCTTGCATCTAGCTACGGTCAATTATGCCAGCTGTTAATTAAACTCTACCAGCTTTCAACACGTTGGGGATTTGTGATACGCTGAAATCCTCACCATGACTTGGCTCTCCAGATTACCCTACGGCATATGAGGCGGCGCTGGAAGTTTTTAGTCACATGACTTATCCCACCTGGTACCCCCTTTCTGCTGATCAAACAGATGAAGTAGCTATGTCCGTAAAGCAGACATTTAGATTACGCCGGCACTTGACGCTCTGACGATCCCCGATCTTCCAAACTTAGACTACGTGACCAGAGCACATATCATTCTGGATTTATCTACCTTCCGATCTTCACCTTGATGAATGATTTGGTTTAGAAATCTACCCTTCAGCGTAGATATCAGCTCTACAACCACTCGTCTGTGTGTTACTAGACAGGCTTGCTATCCAGGAATTTTTCCGACGCTTCACTGAGTCCTGTTACTACAAACTACTCGTAACAGCGTTATGGTGTCATCATGGCCTGCTTTGTCCTCTTCATCACCTTTCCCATTACATTAGCAAGCTTCTGGACAGATGGGTCAAGTTTCTGCGCATGGTACCAGTACTGATGTCAAGTAGCTATCATCCCCTTGCCGAGATGTTACGGAGTTGTGCCTCGCACGGTTCACCGGAGACAGTGTTGTCCGGATGTTTGTCACTGTTGCATTGTGGGTACCATTTGCAAATGGCGGACTACCCCCTTGTTTACCGGAGAATTATGATATTTAGAGTCCCTCTGAAGTAAACTGACAGCTCTGTCTAGGTCCTACAAGCGGATAACAATCCCAGCCTTTTATTGCCAGTGACGATGAACAGTGCCATTCCCGGTAAGAGTGATTATGTCGGAATTCGTCAGCCAGCCGAGAGAGACAGTTCACCGAGAGTTACTCAGCTTTCAACTTTAGCCCAAGCCCTCAGTTCAGAGGTCACTGCAGTTCTGCTGACATGGTCCCCAGGCACAT